AAATATAGATTATCATCTTTATTTTAGTATAAAAATAAAAAATATTTATTAATAAAATAACAAATTTTAATATAAAGAAACAATGTCAATATTACTATTTTTTTTTCAATTTCCAGTAATATAGTATAGGGGTGTGTAAAACAAAATATTTATTTAATAAATTTTATAATTGAAAATATTAAATTTTGAATTTACTTTTAATTATCAAAAGAGTCAAGCGTATTTAGACTCGTGATTTATAAAATGTAACTCATCGAAATTCCCACCAGATTTATTCATAAATTGTCAAGAAGAGTCATACGCATTTATTAAACTCGTGATTTATAAAAATTCCCACCATCAAAGTATTTAGATTTGTGATTCATAAAATGAATAGTTAATCGAACTTCCACTATTAGAAGTATTTAGCCCTTGATTTATAAAATTCCCACCATCAAAAGAGTCAGAACGTATTTAAACTCGTGACTTATAAATGTAACTCATCGAAATTCCCACCATCAAAGTATTTAGATTTGTTATTGTCAAGAATAGTCACACGCATTTATTATTAGACTCGTGATTTATAAGAATTCCCGTCAGACGTATTTAGACAAAATGTAACTCATCGAAATGTGAAATTCCCACAAGATTTTTCGTCATGTGATAATGGTTTTCGACAGAAGCATTAAGTTGGTACCAGAATAAATACACCTCGATAAATCGAGTTTTTCAAAATTTTTTACTATAGCCCGACCACTTCGTTATATCGAGGTTTGACTGTATGCTGAAATTAAGTTTTCCAATTGTCATTTGAAATATAAATATTTATATTTTTTATTTTTAGAAATCCGTTGTTATTTAAAGGTAAGTAGGAGCTGCTTGTCGTTTGGGCAACTGCTATAGGTCGTTGGTACTTTTTCTGCGACGGTGTCGTCGGTATTTTGGCTGTCATCGCCATCGGTTTTATTTCTGTTGTCGTAGTTGGTTTGTTGTCGCGCATTTCCATAGCTTGCGTCCGACCAACTTTCTTTTCGCTACTACTAGTCACGTAGCGGTGTTGGCAGTTGACGTTTGTCGTCTTAGTGGTTACCAGTGAGTTTCCTTGGAGCGTTGGTGGATAGAGTAGCCGGCGGCGTGTCGACGAGGATATGACGATTTCCAAGTGGAATGCTACAATTTAGTTGAGGTTGCTTTCCTTTCACGCTTGGAACGTTGGAAACGTGATCGTTTCCATTATTCCTTGCTTCTTGTTGAGCTGTTTCTGGTTCTGCTGTCTTGGAAGTCGTTCGCTTCAGAGGAACGGTTCCTCAATGGTTCCGCGTTGGTGTTTTCTGCGTTGGAGGAGGTACTTTAATTATTAAGAGGTGAGGGGAAAGCAGATACTGAATCCATCATTACTGTGGTTAGTTTTGTCAAGCATAGCTTGATCTTCCTTTGTTTCTTGTCGTTGATAGGAATGCTTCGAGTTCTTTCTTTATGATATTTATTCTTCGGAAGTACCTGCCATTATGTTATAACTTTACTGGAACTATCCATTTGTATCGAGTTTTACCTCGGTAGTGCTAAGGATGTTATTACCACTGATGATTCGATCAGTTTCACTATTAGTTGGTTCTTATCCGTTATCAACTCGCGTTCCCAGTTGTCGTCTCTTTTGGATTCTTTGTTGAGATCATTTTATTTCAAGGTTCCATGCTCTGTTACGAAGCAATCACATCAGTTAAGTTTCCTTAGTTTTCTTTCATGGGTGAGGTTGTTTAATAACTTTTGTCTCGCAATGTGCATTTTTAACTTGGAAATGTTGTGGTTGGAAAGTGATAGCATATTTTTTTGTCTTCGATTCAAATAGATCAAAAATTGACAAGATTTTGAATAACAAGTTTAACAAACATGATATGTAATGTAATTACGGTTATTAAATACTTGCTTGAACAAATCATTAATTCATTAACGGTTACAAGTCCAAAAAAAGTCTAATAATAAATGCGTATGACTCTTCTTCACATTCTATGAATAACAAATCTAAATACTTTGATGGTGGAATTTCGATGAGTTACATTTATAAATCACGAGTCTAAATACGTCTGATTCTTGATGACGGAAATTTTTATAAATCACGAGTCTAATAATAAATGCGTATGACTCTTCTTGACATTTTATGAATAATAAATGCGTATGACTCTTCTTGACAAATCTAAATACTTTGATGGTGGGAATTTCGATGAGTTACATTTATAAATCACGAGTCTAATATAAATGCATATGACTCTTGTTGACATTTTATGAATAAATACTTTGATGATGGGAATCACGAGTCTAAATACGTCTAACTCTTTTGATAGCGGGGATTTTTATATGGTGCATAAATCTAAAGTCATCAAACGTTAGTATTCTATAAAATGTATAAACTTCTTTACTAAGAAGTAATATGATAGAATAGGCCTTTTCTAAGCATATTCACGGATTAAATTTTGCATTTACTTCGTAGAAAAGAAGTTTATACATTTTATAAAATACAAACGTTTGATGACTTTAGATTTTATGTACCATACATCACGAGTTTAATAAATGCGTATGACTATTCTTGACATTTTATGAATAACAATCTAAATAGTTTGATGAGTTACTTTTATAAATCACGAGTTTAATAATAAATCTTGACATTTTATGAGTAACAAATCTAAATACTTTGATGGTGAAAATTTTGAATCAGTTTTGTAATTTAAACAAACCATCAAGTTTGTAATAAAATTTAATCGATTAACTGACCATTTTAATTAGGGTTATGTGTAACTTGCATCTTTCACTATTTAATTGATTGTACTATTAGGAAATGAGGTTTTGTTCTACGAATTCGGATTTCAGTATGGCCTTTTTTGTTTTGACATCCGTATTATTAGTGTTCATTCCATGATGTAATTTGTTAAATGTGCTCCTATATTGAAGGTGATAAAAGTGAAAAAATAAGCTAATACAGCGCGGCAGTATTATGAAGTATCATTATTTTTATTGATTTTTATATTATTTTTTTTTGCTGGGTTAAAAATGAGACTGAGGATTGGGAAATGAAGCCAAATACAAGATGTATACATTTTCTCATGAGAATAAAAAGCAAACTGGTTTTTTTGATGGGATATCAAATATATTGTGGTTGTTTGCTATTTTGCATTCAAATTAACGCGTTTGTTTTCGTGTGATGTTGCTTGATCGTCTATATGGATACAGTTTTTCCAAGATTAAAGATTTTATCCAAGTCAGATTCATATTGTGTTGTGATGATATACTGTACAATGATATTTGTTTTATCCAATTTTCTATTTAAATGGCAATTCCTTAATTTTTACACACTTAAAACCAAATCCAATTCTGCCGAGTCGATAATATTACAAGTATCGTCATGAAAATACTATATATATATATATATATCGTTATATCTCAATATCAAAAGTTGGTGGTCGATCTATTGTTCCAGATGCCGTTCGATTAGGGTTCCAATTTTCGAATATTTGGGTCCGAGTTCGAGGTAAATTTTCATTTTCAGTATTGCTATTATCATTGTTATCGTCACTATGATCGATTGTAATTGATGGAATATTCACTCTTTTTGATGTGGACAGTGGTTGTTCTTTTGACTGTCTTTCATTATTATCACGTGAATGTGAATTTGATGTTCTTGGAATCGATAATACAGAACGAATCCATTGTCGTTGTCGTGATGTTAAATTGTCAGTATTTATGCCGTCATCATTGTTAATATTAATATCGATATCAGAAACTGATCTAGATCGATCAACAGTTTCCACCACTAAACTTGAATGTTCTGAATTTGACCGTTGTCTTGCCGGTGATTCAGCTTCATCTTTAGATACAGCAATTTCAATATGCCGATTTCTAGTAATTTCAAATTTTGTCAAAATCGCCGATTGTCTCCTACAATATCTCGTAATCAAAAAAATAACCATAGCACAAAATAATCCAGTAACTATGCAAGAAATAAACACGGTTATCCAGATGTAAGTTCGACTTTCGGATTTTCCAGTGTCTGAATTATTGTTACCACTATTTTGGGTGTTGTTTTGGTTCTTGTTGCTATCGCCGTTATTTGAGTCTGACTCATCGTTTTCCGCATTAAGATCGAGTCCATTGATTGGTGGTAATTTGAAATTGTTTGAAGGAATATTTGTGACTATATTGTGTTCTGTAGTCCAACTTTTCAAGGTCATGTTAAATATTTGAATTGTATCGAATGGGGTGCCACAATTTATGACTACATTCGATAAAGAACATCCTCCATATGTCTTTTTATGCAAAAAAAATCAACGTTGATAAAAGTTTAGCATTATACAATCAATTAATCAAAAAAATCAACCAACCAAAACAGCATCCGATCCAGAAAACTGAGCAAATGAAGCACCAGTCCGTCCTTTCATCCCGCCGTCGCTAAACGAAATATTTGACTGAAACTTCATGGTTTGCATATTCAATGGAATAATGTTCACCGGATTTTCCGCATTTCCACTATACGAAATCAAATACAACATGTTATCTCGAATCCCTGTTGCACCATCTCTTACACTATAGGGTAGAGGCGAATCGTTGGGGGATATCCATTGGTATCGTCGATTTGAAATGTATATTCGATTCGAGTTGGTTGGAGTGTTAGTGAAGTTTGCGGCATCACTGTTGGGAAAGTATCCTCCTAACATCCATACACTGCCCTTTACCGTTATTACTATTCGACTAATTGGTGCATCTAAATCTTCCTACAATTAAATGACTATTTATTTTATCATTCGAAAACTAGTTTTTTTTATGAATATCTCCACTTACTTTTTTCGTTACTGTTGACCAGGTCCAGGGTAACGACGTCATATTTAAGAAATATATAAATTGTAAAGGTAATTTTTTTCCGTCCTCGTTTACTCCAGTATTTCCGGCGTAGACTGCCACAAAATTTTTTGAAATTAAAGTCGCTTTCGGACCAACCCCGTAACCCGGATACGCGTTAAGCAGTTTACTCCAATCAATCCATACACCTTTGTTCAAGTCAAAAACTTGAGTCGACACTTTATTATCATTCGATTTCAACGTAAGAATTCCACCAAGTACCAACAAATAATCCGATTGAGTGACAACGCAAGCCGCCGAGCCGACACTTGTCGCATCAACCGTGCTCAGGTTTATCCACGTGATTTTGTTGGTGTTTGTTATTGGAAGTGTGGTGTAGTAGAAAAATGGATTTCGATTTACGCCGTTTGAATCGGTAAAATTATCCCATCCTCCAAATACATAAAAGTTATTTTTCCATGTGAAAGAACAATGTCCATATCGACCTGGTGGAATTGTTGAGGCTGAAGAAGATGAAATGGATTGAGCATTTACGATTAATAAACTCGTCCAGCAAGCGAATAAAAATAAAATCAAAAATATTTTTTGTGACATTTTAATTTATTCTCAATGATAATAACGTAAAAAAATGGCCTATTTTTGTCATGTACCGTGACCTAAAGTAAAATCTGCACTTTTTTCAGAGTTCATACCATTTTAAATGATGTACTGTATGAACTAAAAGTGTCATAGAATAACACAAACATGCACAGATATACTTTATTTAAAGGAAACCCCTTAATTAATAGGTTTTTTATATATGGTTTCGTGGGGAATATACATTAATTTGGTTTATGAAATTGTTATCAGCACATGCACTAGTGAATACTCTATTGGTGCAGATGTAGTACATGTATATGACGCAGGGTTGAAACACTGTAACCAAGTAAGTACATGTAGATCAAAATCAAAGATCTATTCGATGGGAAAGGTGACAAGTATTCTTTTCTGCAAACAGGCTTTTCCTCCATCCAAATAAGTTAATGAATTGTTTTTCCTACTACATATACTTGAACACAATATCTAGGAAACTCGTACATGTATATAGAAATTGAAACCATTCATGTTTGCTTGCAATATAAAAATGCCAAATATCGCGTTGCCTCTCTTGTTATTCAATCTAAATCCAATCCATTGAAAAAATATTCCGATTTTGTTTCTGATTTCTCTTCGCACATTAAGGTTCCAAAGAAGTTCCAAATCTGTCAGAAATTCTTGACTTGCATCCATCCCGATACACTTCAACTGGTCTAAAACAAGAAACGTATTCTGGATGAACTTTTGATCGGTACGTCTATTAAAAATCGACATCAGATCCGGTATAACAAAGTGACGGACCAGCTCTCTCAATTCCAAAATTCTTTGAACTCCTCTAATAAAATTAGTGTATTGAATCGCTAATTTGCCCTTTGTGATTTATGATAGAATATTTTCTGCGCAAGAAAATGCACACAAGATCCGATAATTTTCGTAATTAAGAATTTGTCGGCAAGGCGTAAAATAGGCTCGATAGATAGAACAGATTCTTGAGGGTAAATTTGCTTCAAAATCTTGGGGATTTTCATCGGATAATTCGATTCGTGGGATCCCTCTTTCAGCATGCGAAGACTTTTCTTGCTCGATAAGCATTTCAAACTCTTGGCGATTTTCGGCAAGTGAAGCCTTTGTCAAAAGGTCGTCAAATACTTGTGATACAATATACAAGACACTTTTTTGAAGACGAAACAGAGTAGTGTTTATGAGCAATTCAGCATCGCCTTTTCGTTTTTTAGGAATGTAAAGTGTAAAGTGAGATTGAAGTATTTTAAGCCGTCTACGTATTTATTAAATGAACGAGGTGTGATCTAGTAACATAAAGCACCAAAATTTGACAGCATATGAAACTAAACTCGTTTATTTAATTGATCAATGCATAAAGTTTAAGGATTATAATTTATCAGTCTTAGCTTGCTTGATGTGTAAAATGTATATATTGAGATGCAGATGATAGCGTTGAAATAACTGTCAATACGGCTCACAAAAATATCTTAAGGCTATCTTCATGACCGTTTTTTGAAGCTTCATCCTGCGACAACGATGAACGATGATGTTATTCTCATATACTTTACTCACGAAATCAATTCCTCATCGACTAGAATTATTTTACGCTATCTATAAAATTTCATCTTTAGTCATGTTATGAAACTTGTAATCTATCAAAAATTGTCTAAGGGAAATCCGTAAAACTTGGTCATCAAGCGGAACTTATAATATTTAATTCAATATTTTGACATTTGAGATGCTCAAATGTTTAAATTACTAGATAATGGATATGATAGTCGAAAAAAAAATGCTTTTCCATAAAACGTAATTAATTGCCTGGTTTCTTTTCTGAGGACATGAACTTGAAAAAAATGGGCGTGTAGATGACAGGACGTTGATTTTCTGAGCTGGGTTGCCAAAGATTAGTACTGTATTTTCTACCTTCTTATTTACACTAATATAATATTTTGAAGCTCTTACTATATAACGATAAAGTACCCGAGTACAAATCGAAAACACCTTTCTAGCTTTATTGGTACATGTATTCTCTAAATATACATGTAGTATAAAAATGGCGTTTAAATAAAAACTCGAATTTATTTCTTGTAAGAGTATTGAAATCCGATAATTACATGTACTTATATTATTATTACTTTATGTATTGAATAAAAATAAAAAATAGCTAGAAAAAATACTTAAAAATATCACTGAAATATTATTTTTATTACAATTCTCAATAATAGTTTTCAATAAACTTCTTTACTAAGAAGTAAATACAAAATTTAATCCATGAATATGCTTAGAAAAGCCTATTCTATCATATTCACGGATTAAATTTTGTATTTACTTCTTAGTAAAGAAGTTTATCCATTTCATAGAATACAAACGTTTGATGACTTTAGATTTTATCGTTATGCACCATATACGTAAATCTAATCGTTACGGTTAGCGTTAGAATAAAAACATTCGTTTTAATCAAATGGTGTGTAATGCCAATCAAAAAGCATTTAAACTACATACATGTATTGAAAGAGAAATAATTTTATGTGATCAAAAAATTATTAACGTTAATTAAATTAATCAATGAACTTGCATCCAATTAACAACCAAAAAATATCTTAATAAAATTTTATTTTGAAATTTATTTAAAATTAGAAACTTTAGAGTTTACGTATTTATACTAATTCCTATCGCTATGGTGCATAACATCTAAAGTCATCAAACGTTTGTATTTTATAAAATGGATAAACTTCTTTACTAAGAAGTAAAT